TTTTGGTCAACACAACCCCTACCAGACCGGAATCCCGCTTGCTGCTCTCGAGTCAGTGTTTCACGAGCCACCGTAAGGCGACAAGCACCAGTCCGTAGGTGGTTCCACGTTCACCGTGGGCTGCAGATGAGTGCCAGGCACATAAATTACTGGTTCTCCTGAAGTCTGGGGCGATATAGATCGAGTGGTTAGAGCGCGAATTTACTGGTTGGAAGGTCGTTGTCCGAGGACTCCACCCCCGTCTTTGAACAGTGCGGGTGGAAGGTCATCCGGACCGGTGGCGCTTGAGAGAACATATGCAGTCGTAAACCTCCGAGGCCGTAGGTGGTTCCACGTTCACCGTGGGCTGCAGATGAGTGCCAGGCACATAAATTACTGGTTCTCCTGAAGTCTGGGGCGATATAGATCGAGTGGTTAGAGCGCGAATTTACTGGTTGGAAGGTCCGTTGTCCGAACCCGACCTCTGCATCTCGACTTCCTCTGTCTAGGCTTGGACAACCTGGCAATAGCTCAGCCCTCATGCTTCTTTCGGGTGATATGGCAGCTAGGCACCGAAAGGGTGTTACAACTGGACAGCTGACTCGTTTGTCAGGCACGCTTCGCACTTATTCCCCTTCATTCCCCTCTCGGGTGTGCACTGGTTGCAACTCTCGTGGTCAACGGAGCACTGATTGTTCCCGTACCAACCACGAAAGGCCGGGTTATTTATTAACATACCTGGTTCTTCTCACTACCAATGAAGGGCTGCGATATGGTTGTTTTCGACTACACGCCCCTCTGAATTTAACATAAAATCCGCAAAGTTTATTGGGAGTGGCGCTCACGCTCATTGAAATCGGCAGTCATTTGGATATCTTACCTATGTAAATCCTGCTGCATCTGCCACTATGTCAAGGTTTCCCCTCCGAATGTCTCTACCGGTCTTCATGGGGGACGGGGTGACTGTTGGAACTAGAAGACATGTCTACAGTAGCCGTTTATAGTGAGTCGTATCCGACACCAACTAATCTTAGGAAAAGGTCAGACTCATAATACTCGGTTCCCGTGTTGGTTGAAGTATGGTCAGAGACAACTGCCGAAGGAGATGGCAATTTATAAAACTATCCAACAAATCCAAAGTCGTACAGACTTTCCCAGGAGTGGATTCCACCTCACTCTGTAGCCCCCTTTTCCAACCCAATGCATGCTCTCAGCTGATTTGTCTGCAGTTCTCCCGTTACTTTCACCTGTAATCAGTTTTCGTAGCTTCTGGCACGATTTTCAGTTTATGTCCCTCACTGGACCCCAAACCGATCTTCAGTGGACGTGAATCCTCGAACATGTTTATATGCTTTCGTCCTAGATATTCGGTGAATAATACCTTGAGGTACCTCCTGTGGAAGTAGTTTGGAGGTGCGGGATTGAAGACAGGCACAGCCGTCCCTTATTCGTCTTACTGAGAATTCCCTGGGTTCTGGGACATGAAGATCGCGCATTGGTCTCTGATTGGCTTCTTACTCCTACGCAAAACGCGCACACCTCACTTAGCCACTGAGAAACTAGTGGGCCAAGAAATCGGAGGGAACTATCAGAACCAACTCTTCGAATGCCTTTCGGACCGTCCGATGTAAACGGTCCCTGGGAAAATATATCCAAAGCTTGAATTCCGCACGTTTCTCTGGACGTTCAGTGGCTTGTTGTGATCGATCGTAACGACCATCGCGTTTTCTAACGCTTCTCAATTGTCTAAAGAAATTCTCACGCGAGGAAGCCTCATTTCAATTAACGGACTTATTTTGTCCCAATATGGTACTCATTGTGAGTATGCGAACATTTCCACTACTCGCTGCTGGACGTTTGCGTTGCGCGAACGTCACGAAGAGACTGGACCTTACGGTGGTGTGACGGTTTGCGCACCTCAGCGATCCATTGAGCTATACTGGAGAGTGTCCCGCGACATTCACAGAGTCCCTCATACCAGGTTGGTCAATGGTTAGAGGTCTGACCTCCAGGTTGGGGGTTGGAACATGTGGCGACTTGTTCCGTAGAAATAGAAATACATATTCATTTCCCGCCAAAACCGCTGCCTTGCTGTTAGGCTTTTGAACCAAAGGCTTTGGTTGAGGACCCTAATCGTCCTCCTGTCTAGGTGTGGGCGCCCTGGCAGTATTCCAGCCCACGTACAACCATGAATTGCACATACACAAATAAACTCATGCCACATCGGCCGTCGCGTGGTGCCATCAGCCGGGTCGCCTTACTTGCTGCATACAGCAGGGTGGGTAAGCGAAAACAGGCTACTGCTGACGCCTCCCTTCTTTCTCCTTCACATACTTTTTCTTCCCCCTCTCCCCACCCCATTAATAACTCTCTCCTTGTTGGCCCAGCACTTAGGACTGATGACTCCGTTCGTCATGCATCGGTTTTGCGTGCAGCATATGTTCGTCACATGGTGCCGACATCTCGGGCCGCGTTTGCTAACTTGAGACACCTATGGCGTTAGAATGGTTTATCCCTGAATCTGAAGTGACGTGTGTATCAAGCTACAGTACGGGCTGTTTTGTTGTATGGCTGTGAGACTTGGCCTATTCGAGCAGCGGACCTGAGACGTCTTCAGGTGTTCGACAATCGTTCTCTCAGAACCATAGCTCGTGTGGGTTGGTGTCAGCGAATCCGTAACGAGGCAGTTAGAAAACGTGTTTTCGGTTGTGTAACGGGTACTTCCATTGAAGAATGTGTCCAGCACCAAAAGCTGCGTTGGTTGGGACATGTTTTACGCATGCCGAATCATCGTTTACCGAAAAGAGTACTATTTTCCATACCCAATTCGGAGTGGCGTAAACAGAGAGGTGGCCAACCCATGACCTGGCAGAGGAGTATGAAGCAGATGACGAAACGCTTGGGTGCTGTCGGTGCTACTCGCCTTCCAAGATGGGGACCGCGTGATCCTCACTGTGCCTGGTTGGAAACACTACAAGATATGGCTGCCAACCAATGTCAGTGGCGTTCTTTTTGTCAGTTTCTATTCAGATTGCCTGAGTGAATGTCTGGAGGTGTAGGCACCTCGGAATGATTGTGTTAAGCTAGCACTAAGTCCCTCCCCCGTCCACCTTTACTCTTTTCTTTACAATAAGGCTTTCAAATAAGTCACGGCTGTACGGCAGTGAAGTATCGGTGTTGAGCACTGATGTCATGCTGTCGTTGATGATGATGATGATGAATGTATGCGAAGACCATCTGCAACGCCGAAATCCATGAGGGCAGCACACTAGCATCGTCGACTGGTTTTACACATAATTTTCCGAAGTTAGTCGGCTTACATGCACAATTAGTCATATAATGTCATTGCTTTCCACAAAGCGACGGACACAACAGCCAGTAAGTTTGAAACACAAAAACACTCTCATCATCTGTGTGAGCTTCTCGAACTAGGGTGCTTGAACTCCAGAGTGCATTTCGTTCAGGAAACTGAGCCAATTCGCATGCGATTTCGACGACAGCGCTAAACAGCCGAATCAGTGTAAATTTTAGCAGCCTATGTTAGTTTGGGAAGTTTGTAAATTATATTACAATTTGTTTGAGGCGTGATACCAAGACACTACGTCTGCCAAAAGCGAATTTGTTGAGGATATTTGCACCATCGAAAAACCGCCCCACACACGGATCGACACCAGAGACAAATAGTTCCCCAATCGAG